TGCACGCGGAAAGTGGGAAACGGTTAGTGAATGTAGTAGCCTTCGACAAGATCTGTTATTGATGGTTGAATCGAAAGGGGCTAATAGAATACTGATCTGCCACACAAAAATGCGCTGAAGTCCCTTCGATCTCAAACGAGGACTTTGATAATTTTTTTTCATTTATGATCAATACTTTTGTTTGTATGCTCGTAATACTATCAAAGGAAACTCCCACACATCCAGTAGCCCAAAAAGAGAAACACCCCCCTTTTTAGCGCATTTTTGCAAATTTATTTGTAAAAAGTAGCTTTTAATCTCACTTTGGCTGGCTGGCTGGCTGGCTGGCTGCAAATGTGGGCGTGTAGAAAAACTCTTGTAGATAGGCAACGGGTGTACGTGTATCTACAAGGCCGTGAAATTTGTCAACCTTAGGGACATGGCTACATGATGTGGGGTTGGCGACATCTGGGCGTCATCCTCGAGCGTAGTATACTAACGTGAAGGTTTTTCAGTTTTTTCCTATCTTCTACTACAGTTTTGGTCCGATTCTTTTCAAATTGGTGTCGTCGGAAAGATGTTGTAAACGCGCACAACTCCTGCGTGGCGGAATTTTGTTTTTTGTCCTAGGGGCGAAATTAACGACCTTTTGCGAGGCGCGCGCGCGCGTCTTCGAGAAGTAGTCAACTTCGGGCGCCTTTTACCTTCCGTTGCGAACTCACGCGGTTTAACGTTTCGTAAATCTCGAATCGCTGTCTCTCTTTCTCGTGTCGCCAATAGAAGCGAATTGCGGGTGAACGGGACGTCGGAAGTGGCTACCGTCAAAGGGAATGTGGTAGCCCCCGACCTGATTTTAACTTTAAAAGCGAATTGCGGGTGCACGCGGAAAGTGGGAAACAGTTAGTGAATGTAGTAGCCTTCGACAAGATCTGTTATTGATGGTTGAGTCGAAAGTGGCTAATAGAATACTGATCTGCCACACAAAAATGCGCTGAAGTCCCTTCGATCTCAAACGAGGACTTCGATAATTTTTTTCGATAGAACATCTATTTCAAGGAAAGAAGCAATTTCGTTAAAAGTTAGGTGCAATAGAAGCAAGTAAAGAAATTGTGACCACGCTGTGTAATTTACGCCCATAAGAATAACATTGCCCTACGATTTCACGTCACCGGCTACAGAGGTATAGAATGTGCTGACATTACTGTTGGCTCTTATATTAATAGGACAACCTTTTATAGCAAAACTGTTACTTTTATTTTCCAGTACTTCTGTAATAGTTTTAATAGCAAGAAGTGTTTGTAATTAAAGCGGATCCAACTTGCTGAAGGAAAAAGAGTGTACCATTTTAGATTGAGGTGTACTACCTACATTGGAAGAATTGCAAAAATTGCATTATGTGTTGCCTACTCAAAGTCATTAAATATCATTTCCCTACATACATTCAACACACAATACAATAAAATGATTGCTTTATTGCTGTTGCCCTTGCAACTGCCATTAAAAGATAATTAAGGCGAACATATCCACTCACCCTCTTCAATCGAATGCGACTTGTTCCACTGATCTCGAATTTTTTGCGACCATCCAGCCGATTTCTTGTTCCTCGTACGTTCACGTACACTAAAACACGCTGTGCAATTGCTTAATGCCAAAGGTCCCCATTTGATACTTACATAACAAGTCCGGAGAGAGATTTAGAATTCTCCTCATTATCTGAAATATCAATCCACTCGTCGCTTTTGTCACTCCCACTTAAATCGCTAGCTGCCTTCCCATTGTAAATGGAACCATCGTTCGGCCACCCCGATAACGAACGACTATACAAGCTGTTGCTCTGCTGATCTGAAGATACCATCGAATCCCTGTTCGACCCCAACTCCCAATTGTCGATTTGAATATTGCACCCGTAGATACTCTCGTAGTTGTTGCTGAACGTTTCTTCGTTGGTATTCTTGGAGCTCAATTGGTAGATCGACTCGTAACAGTTTGAGAAGGCCTCGCCCTTTTGGAGTATACTCGAAGGTGGACGCGGCGGTAGGGGTTGTTCTTGTTTTCGCCTGCAAGGTAACGTCTCGTAGATTTGTTCGGACTCCGGTTTTTTGGGAGATTCCTCTATCGGATCGAAACACTCGTAACCGTCGTCGGCATTTTGTTCGTTAGCGTCGTACCTTGACAAGTACTCGTAGTTATGGCCGCCAGTTACCAGTTCATACATTGTATCATCGTGCTCAGTTGGAAGCGGCATTTTCTTCTTATTGATCGCTTTGGGAGCCAAAGGCCTCTTTGCGAGATTCAGAGATGTTGGGCGCGGAGGAATTGCGGGTGGTTCCGGTTTTAAGTCTTGCGAGGCCGAGCCAACCGCATCGTAGAGACTCTTCCAATCGGTTTGCGCCTCCAGAGATTTTTGCCTCCACAAGAACGACGTATTCGGTTTTACTAAGGTGTTCGAATCCGTCGGATGAATTTTTCTTAGGTTTAAGGTTTCGTACTTGGAATCACATCGTCTCGGCATTACCAGTGGAATGTTGAGTATTTGTACTTCCTCCTCGTCAGTCTTTTTCTCTTGGTCGCCGCCTTCGATTTGTTTAGGTACGTTAGAACTATCTACAGGGTTTTGATTAACACTATTATCATCGCGAATATCGAGCGCTTTCAGTTTTTTTACACCGTTTTTTATGACTAAGTCTTTAGTTTTAATATTTGGACTTTTTTCAGGCACTTTGGGTTTTGGCACTTTTTCTAATTCTTTAACGATAGTTTTTACCTCGTTCTCCGGAGTTCTAGATTCAGAGCTGCGCCTCTCAAAAATTTGAATGGTCGCGCGAACTGTACCGGTTGTTTCTGTTTTAACAGCAGATTTCTCGTCATTTTGACGAAGTTCAAGGTTTGTTTGGCTGCTAAAGTGTTGTGGCCTCTTGCTATCATCGAGATTAGCTGGTTTGATTTTGACACTGGGTTTTCTGGCAACCTTTTTGTTGGTGATATCCACTTGAGCAGGCGGTGTTGCTTTGAGACTATTCACTCTACGAACCAAACGCGCGAATTTTGGCTGTTCAAGAATTGGCACTCGATCCGATAGCATTTCGTTAAACTTTGACGTAAGTTCTGCTACAGTATTTGGATTTAAAGCTGCAAGTTTGCCACTATTTGGTGCTGTTCGTCGAAATGATGGTTTTTTACTGCACTTAAAACTAATTTTCCTTGTTGGCGATTTTTTCTGCTCCATGTTCTCCTTATTGGGATCAGGGGGTTGACTCTCCTCATCTTTTGTCTCGCACAAATTAAGAAACACCTTACGCGATTCTTCTACATTGCGGCGTAAGTAACTTGAATTCAGTGACGATTTGGAAACGACTGAGTCACAGTTGTTACTGGTTTGATAAGCTGTTATCTTTGCAGATCGCATGTATGGAGCGGTGTAGTGAGGAAATCGCTGCGAAGGCTGGTCGATATCAATGAAACCATGGTAGACTGGCGACGAGATGCGTCGGTCTAATGACAGCGTTTTGGACCAATTTATCATGTTGACTTGTGCGGACATCGTGACCTGCAATAAGGAAAAATAGTTATTATTGATATGAACAAAGTCATACAATCTTATCTTGTAGTAGCGATTTTGTAAAAGTTGTGATTATTGCATACAGACTATTGTTGGTGGACGAAAAACATCGGCAAACTATAAAACCAATATAAGGTATCATTCATCAACTCAAACGGCATGATCCTTTTACCACATTTTCTACAGTGAAAAAGTGAATACAAAATTGTTTTTCGTTATAGCGTTCTCACGTATTCAATAAACTTTCGCAAATCAAATAAAATTAATTTATCCATAAGCGCCTTACCATACTAAAATAACCTCGGGACGGCAACTGACAATAGGCACAGCGTACGATACTCAAGTAGTACGTTTACAAACGTGACACGATGGAATGAATCTCATCAGATTGTAATGAGCTCGTAATAGATAGCTAATCGATTAATAACGATAATCGCACACGTTAACTCTTGAAAAATGTAATGTCACCATTACAGTTCACAAGAATAGGTACTCAAAAATAAGGGCCCAGGTACACGGACCATACTAATGTCAAATAAGAGAGTGCACATATGAGGCACCAAAAAAGTAAATGTCTTATACATCTAGTAATTGGGGTTGGTTTTTGTACTAATGAATAATATTACCAAATGCTTATTCACATTAACAATCTCAAACAGTATCCGATGGTGAAATACTTGTTTGTCTATTTCAAGGCCCCCCAAGGGTTCCCTTGGTCAAGAGGGTTGCTAACTATATCCAACTTACACTCAAGACAGGTTTGATTGCTGATAAGAACCAGCTTTTACAAAATAATTACAGGAATTAATGTCTGTCTGAACAAATTTGTTCCTAATAGCATCTAACACCACGTGGAGAACCGTAGCAATAACCGTTGGACACTTTGTGGTCAACAAGTACGCCCTTGAACCATACGTTAACATGCAAAACAAAGACTTTATTATTTGCAGAGAATTTTAAGTTCAACGTACATATTTTGTTTAGCTTTTAGAGCAAGTGTGTTTTATTCTCTAATTAAGAGGCGGCGTTCTGCAAACTTATTTAAGAGGGAGCAGCAATAAAGTAGTAATTTAAATTGCAATGAAAAATGCACGAATTCCCGACATTCTTGGTAACGCTAACAAATTATCGGGATTATAAGAGAAGATTTAATTAAATAATAATTAAAGAGCTCCATCCACAATGTCTAGAAGAATAATTACACATAACTAGAAAATTTTAATGATCGTTTAAATGTATAATATAATTACATAGAATTTACGTGCACGTTTATTAAAATGTATAGCCCAGGTTACAACGAAGAGAAAGGGCCAGCAAATAACTGTCGCACGATTAAGTGAAACCATTCATATTTCAAAGGGAGAAATTTCACTCTACATCTGTGTGTATTGTGTATTAGAGATAGATCAACGAGAGCGGTCTATTTTTTGATATCCTTGTGAAAGTTACTTAAGGCATCTATCAAAATTTCCCAAAAATATTTCTTATAAAAACGTGAGAAATTAATTTTTAGATATACTTTTTAGCGCATTTTTGCAAAAAATTTTTTTTGTAAAAAGTAGCTTTTAATCTCACTTTGGCTGGCTGGCTGGCTGGCTGGCTGGCTGGCTGGCTGGCTGGCAGCAAATGTGGGCGCGTAGAAGAACTCTTGTAGAAAGGCAACGGGTGTACATGTATCTACAGGGCCGTGAATTTTGTCAACCTTAGGGACATGGCTACATGATGTGGGGTTGGCGACATCTGGGCGTCATCCTCGAGCGTAGTATACTAACGTGAAGGTTTTTCAGTTTTTTCCTTCTTCTACTACAGTTTTGGTCCGATTCTTTTGAAATTGGTGTCGTCGGAAAGATGTTGTAAACGCGCA